CATAATATAATGGGGCTGTAGATACTTGGTTTACTAACTTAAAAAAAAATGAGCTTTTTTTATGCATGTGTCATAAAATACCTCTATTTGAAGGAAGTAATCAGTAGGAAAGGCCACAGTTAGGAGGGAAGTCTCCTTCTAGGAAGCAGTGCTGAAGTTTTTTCAAAAATTAATTTTCCCATCACCATTTGTCCCCTTCAAGCGTCTTCCACCTCTACCCACTTCCTCCCTACAGTCATGACCCTGTTGTCCGTGCCCTTGCGTTCTCTCTTTTTCATTTTTGCTGTCCCCCCGCCTCCACCCTAACAGCGACCCCCACCCCCCAGAGCTGCCTACTGCTCTCTGCCTCTGAGCCTGCCTTCTGTTCCGCTCGGCCGTTCAGTTTGTTCACTCAGTTCCATGTGTGAGTGAGACCATGTGCTACTTCTCTTCCTCTGGCTGGATGATTGTTATTAAAAAAACAAAGCAAAACAAACTGGAGCATCAGAATAACTGATCCTTGGATATATACTTCATGAGTAAGATATTTTATAGGATGCTTGGGGATAGTCTTAGGACAGACCTGCCTTATACTGACTTATGTTTTATAATTAGCATTATCCCTGGTGAAGCTTCTTGACATTCCCCCCAGCCCCAGCTATATGACATGGCGATGGGAAAAGTGACACTTAGAGGTCATTCTTAGGGTATGTGGAGCCTGCAGAACCAATTCAAACCTTGTTGTGTAATCTTAGATCTCCTCTTTACTTGCTGTAAATATTTTCGTATGGAATTTTTTCTTTTTTAGTCTTTCAGACATTTCTACTGAGATATAATTGACATATCATATTATGTTAGTTCCCCGTGTACTACATAATGGTTGTATGTATTGTAAAATGTTCACTGCAAGTCCACTATAATAAACCCAATTAACACCCACCACTATACATAGTTACATGTTTTTTTCTTATGAGAACTTTAAAAGTCTCCTCTCTTAGCAGTTTTTGAAAACATTAGCAGTTAACTATAGTCACCACGAGGTATGTTGCATCTCCATGTTCCTTTGTTCTTCACCCTGTTTGAGCCCGTCACCACTTCGTCCATGCGCCAGCCCGTCTCTGGCAGCCACCTCTTTGTTCTCTGTGTTCATGAGTTTGGTTTCTCAAATGTTTTAGATTCCACATATGAATTAGATAATGTGGTATTCGTCTATGTAATAAAATATATACACACACACACAACACCTTTTCTTCCATCTTAAATACTTAAATTTATTCATCGATAGACACTTAGGTTGCTTCCCTGTCTTGTGTACTGTAAATAGTTCTGCAGTGGACATAGGGGTGCATATATCTTTTTGAGTTAGGTTTCCTTTGGATAAATCTCCAGAAGGGAAATTGCTGTATCCTGTGGTGGTTCTATGTTTGAAGAATCTTCATACTGTTTTCCATAGTGGCTGCACCATTTATGTTTCCATCAACAGTGCACAGTGTTTCCCTATTCTCCACATCTTCTCAAGCTCTTACTTCTTCGTGTCGTTTGGATAACAGCCATTCTAACAAGTGATAGGGGTTATCTCATTGTAGTTTTGATTTGCATTTCCCTTACGGCTAGTAGTATTAAGCACCTTTTCATGTACCTATTGGCTGTTGGTATGTCTTCTTTGAAAACATGTCTGTTAAGATCCTGTGCCCATTTTTTAAATGGATTGCTAGACTTTTTTGCTATTGAGTTGTATGAGTTCTTTATATATTTTGGATATCAACTCCTTATCAAGTATATGACATGCAAATATTTTTTCCTACTAGGTAGGTTTCCTTTTCATTTGGTTGAATTCTTTTGCTGTATAGAAGCTTTTTAATGTGATATAGTCTTGTTCATTTTTGCTTCTTTTTGTCTTTGCTTTTGATTTGAAATCTTAAAAAATTCTTAATTTAATGTAGGTCTACTTGCCTAGAGCATATATCACTCTTTGTGCATTTGCTATTCCCATTATATACATACTGCTTTTCCTAGTGCCGTGTCTTCAGCATAAGGGGTAACACATTTCTACTGATTGAACCCCAGCTCCCCTGTGGCTCATCCCGCTCCTTTTGTGTCTCCTCTCTCTATTACGTCTGTGTCCCCAGTGCCTCAATGTCCCATATGTACTCTCCCCACAATTCCTGCAGTTAAATAATGTTATTTCTGCAAATACTCATATATTTTATTTCTCTGCAATAATTAATTCTGCTTCGGATTACTGCTGTGTAACATAAGTAAAAAATGTAGCATATTTGTGGAATTTTATTTTAATCATTAAAAACCCAAATATTAAACATTCTGAGTACTTATCATATTACTGACATATATATTAAAATATTTACAGTTCCAAGGCAATCAGTGTGGTAGGTGGTTAGATAGGTTTCATTTTTCCAGTATTACTTCCTAATTTCATTTAAATAGTGATTTAAAAAAATTTTTGTTCCAGTTTTCTGTTGTAACTGTCACCTATTATTTAGTACATTAAGGCCTGAAATAGAATATTTAAAAATAGAACATATTTTAAACCCAACTGTTACCTCTAGCATGGGTACTGTGATTCTGAGCATGAAAAAAAGACTGAAGTTTGAGATTTTGAGGTAAGAGAGAATGTTCTGCATTTTATTTGCTTGAAAGAAGCACAGAAGACCTGATCCAGAGTGCTGCAGTTTGTTAGCTAGTTTGTAATATTGACGTAGTCAGGCATGCGGTTCAAAGGTAAGAAGTACCATCCAGAGGCACATACACACAACTTTTAATTGCCCATGCTCTTGTCTTGGCCATGCCTGATAGTTCATGGTTGGCATCCAGGTTCAGGTTAGAAAGGCTGTCTAGATACCAGTCCAGAGGTAGAGAGCTTTGTCCATTTGGCCTGACACGTATGGTTTTCACAGTGTTTAAAACTGTTTGGATTAATTTACAAATTAGGTGACTTTATATAAAATCCAAATGTTGCATTTCTCTTGAAAAATTATGGAAGAACTAGCAGTATGGTACAGTAATTGAGGTGAGCAGTAGGGGGTCAGTCTTAGACAAGACATGCACACTCTAGTTTGAAGAATTCCCTACCTGGTCCCCTCCACTTACACACATCTGTTTGCGTCCTGTAAGAACTTGAGTTTGGAATATTTGGTTTACTCTTCTTCAAAGTTAGAGTAAGGAAATTGGAGCCAATCAGTTAAATTATTTTTTGACCTTAAATAAGGGTCAAGAGATAAATCGTGGCAGAGCCTGGGTTATAATTCACTCTCCATCCACTAATACCAACTATAAGACAGAGCACTTGGCTTGCTGTCCTGGCCCTGGCCCTTCTAGCTCCCTCCGTCCTTCATGCCGCTAACGTTTGATTTGCATAGTCGTGAGATGAAAATAATCATACTGGTAAGTGTGATTGTTGCAAAGGTTAAATATATTTGTCATTGTCGGGTTCGTATCTGCAGAGACATTTTAACCGTTTCTTTTTTTTTTTTTTTTAATTTTTTTTTTTTTTTTATCCTCACCCGAGGATATTTTTCCATTTTTTTGTTCAGATAGCGTGGGAGGGAGAGAGGAAGAGAGAGAGCGAGAAACATCGATGTGAAAGGGACACATCGAGTGGCTGCCACCCGCACAACCGACCAGGGCCGGGGACAAACTGCAACCGAGGTACATGCCCTTAGCAGGAACCGAACCCGGGTCCCTGTGGACCGCAGGCCGACGCTCTAACCGCTGAGCCAAACCGGCCAGGGCACATTTTAACCGTTTCTAACAAGACCTTTCTTATTACAGTTGTTATATTTTTATTTTTTCTCCTTTATTTAAAGTGGTAACATTTAACAAAAATTTATAATCCTCTAAAAAATGTATTAGGGTGACATTGGATAACAGGATCATATAAGGTTCAAGTATACATTTCTGTGATGTAGGATCTGTGTATTACATTGTGTGCCCGCCAGCCAAAGTCAGACCATCTTCTGTCACTGTGTGTTAGACCCCCTCTACCCCCAGCACCTCCCTGCCCCTTCCCTTTGGCAACCACCACACTGCTGTCTGTGTCCATGAGTTTCAGTTTTCTATCCCACATATGAGCAAACTCAAATGGTCCTTAGCTTTTTTTGATTTACTTCACTTAGCATAATATTCTCAAGGTCCATCCATATTGTCACAAATGGCAGTCTTTCATCTTTTCTTATGGCTGAGTAGTATTCCATGTGTGTTTGTACCACGTCTTCTTTATCCAGTCTTCCGTTGCAGGACACTTTGGTTGTCTCTGTTTTCTTGGCCACTGTGAATAATGCTGCAGTAAACATAGGGGCACATACATCTTTGCGAATACATGTTTTCAAGTTTCTTGGGTAGAGACCCAGGAGAGGGATTTTTGGGTCATATGATAAATTCATTCTCAATTGTTTGAGGAGTCGCCAGACTGTTTTCCATAGTGGCTGTGCCAGTGTCCATCCTCACCAGCATGAATGAGGGTCCTTTTCTGTACAACCTCTCCAGCACTGTGCCTACCTATCTTGTTGATCGTAGCCGTTCTCACAGTGCTAACGTGTCTTAGTGGACTTGTTGAGGGTTAACATGGCTATGGTGTGGTAGCATTGGTATTCATTATGTTGATGAACTTGCATATAAGTTAATGTGCCAGGCTGTGTGTGTGTGTGTGTGTGTGTGTGTGTGTGTGTGTACAGTTTTGAAAGTATTAACAAGAAAAATTTGTGTTATAGTGTATTGAAGTAAAATTTGATTTACATTTCTTACCATCTGGTTTTATATTTTTCTAATAAAGTCATGTTATAAATAGTAAAAAACAATAAAAATGAGAAAATGAAGATCTGTGTGTTTATTAGCATAATAAAATTTAACTCTCCTGGAACTGAAGTGAGAATAACAAAATAATACAGTTCCACTGATTAATGCCTGGAAAGGTTATAAGTTTTTATCTTAAATGTTTCTCTTTTTTCATGTTAGAGATCTGTTACCTTGAAAATGAGTTCTTACCTTAGTTTTATTTTTTTCAGAGCACCTTCAAGTTTAAATCTGAGAGTGATATTCATTTGGCAGAACATCATAAACAGGTTCTGTACGATGGGAAACTTGCAAGTAGCATCGCGTTCACCTATAATGCCAAGGCCACGGACGCGCAGCTGTGCCTGGAGTCCTCCCCGAAGGAAAACGCGTCCATCTTCGTGCACTCCCCGCACGCCCTGATGCTGCAGGTGGGTGCCCGCCCTGCGTGCCGCGCCGGCCACGCCGCGGGTTTCGGTTGGTTCTTTCATTCTCTGAATGACTCTCTTGCCTTCTCCCCATTTTTGGCAATCTACTTCACCTCGGACTCGCCCACTAATAGGGTACCAGTCATTTCTGATGCCTTGTGCGTTCTGTGGCTTTGAAATAGTCAGTTGGTTAGCTGAACAGATAGTTGTTAACAAAAAAATATTTTTTGGTTCAAGAAGAGTAGTGGATGTCTCCCTAACATAGAATTCCCTGAGTATCTTTTTTTTTTTTTATCCTCACCCGAGGACATTTTTTCCATTTTTTGTTCAGGTAGAGTGGGAGGGAGAGAGAGGAACAGAGAGAGAGAGAGAAACATCGATGCGAAAGGAACACATCGAGTGGCTGCCACCCGCACAACCGACCAGGGCCGGGGACAAACTGCAACCAAGGTACGTGCCCTTAGCGGGAACCGAACCCGGGTCTCTCAGGACCGTAGGCCGACGCTCTAACCGCTGAGCCAAACCGGCCAGGGCTCCCTGAGTATCTTTAAATTCATCAAAAGTATTTCTTGTTATATAATATCTATTGATTTATAGCTTCATATTTTCAGTGTAAAAAACCTCTCAAATGAAGATTTCAAATTTTAAATTTTAATTTTATATGTGTATCAAAAATTATATAATTGAAGGTTTTAAAAATGTCTAACTAATGTTATTTAGTTCTCTTTCAAAGTTATTAGGAACAAGGAAATGGTGATAACATCATGCTCCAGAAATGTAATCAGCTCTTTTGTCTCCGAATACAGGATGTGAAAGCTATAGTAACACATTCGATCCATAGTGCGATCCATTCGATTGGCGGGATCCAAGTGCTTTTCCCACTCTTTGCCCAGCTGGACAATCGGCAGCTCAACGACAGTCAGGTGGAGACGACTGTCTGGTACGTTCTCTCTGATGCGCACTTTCTCAGGTGTCCTGCATGCTTGGGTTAGACCTGGTGTCCTCGGAATCCTACAAAGGCATTACAGTGTTTGGTTTTATTCTTAAAGTTCTAACAAAAGTTCCTTTAGGAGTAAGGCAGATTATATGTATATAGTATAAAAATAATCTGACACTGTGATTCTTATAAACATAAAGGAGTGACTTCCTTCATAATAAAAAAAAATCCTTATCGGGTGAGACATAGTGATTATAATATGCAGTTGAGGAAAAATAGCAATCCCAACCTTAAACTTTGCAAATACTCATGGTTTGGATTGTCCATGAAATCCTGTCAGGTTAAATAAAATTACAAGGGTAAAATTTATTTTGAAGAATAATATTTAATAAATTACATAATTTATACTTTAAATGCAGGTATTATTTTATAATGCTATTATCATAAGACAGTACAGCATTACTTGATATTACCTTTCTTTATATATAGTTTATATTTGAGATCCCAAATCTAACCAGTGGCATATCTGTGTCTATAAAAAAATTCAATATATTCTAACTAGGTTTATTTCAATTTTTTGTAGCTTCTCTCATTTTTATTAAAAAATATCTTATGCATAAAACTCTGATGTCATTGTATATCTTATATCTTATATATAAGAAGTTAAATGTGAATTTTAACAGCTATTTTGACTGTGTACATTGTTACGTTTAGAGAATTTAAGGGCAATGTTTTATAGGTTTACATTAATTTTTATTTGAAAAGTAATATAGAAATTATATTACATGAAATCCTTCATGTTTGAATTGATGAAAAAACTAGCAAATGAAGGAAAGATGGGAAAATTTAAAGTCCTTTGAAATGTAACATGATTTCCTCATATTTATTATCTAACTTAGCTAGTAACAAAATTCTATTAATTGCTATTAATATAGTCTCTTTGTTGAGACTGTCTTTATGTAAAGTATCAATGTACATGTAAATGTGACCTACTGATTTACAAAATCCAGCTCCCATCCATGGTCATGCTTTCTTTCATGTCAGTGCAGCATAAAGGTTGCAGGTTTGAAGAGAAAAGCTTTGCACTGAAGTGGAATCCCGAGGTCGTGTTCTGTCGTCATTCCAGTTTGCTGTGAGCTCTTAAAGGGTTTCACTGTGCGGCAGATCAGCCTGTGGGGAAATGCAACTAAATTCCAGTCCTGGATTTAAGAAAAAAATGTTTTGTCTCTGTTATGTAAGTGATACAGTATACATTGTGATAGGTAATTAAAAACTTAATAAGGGCCATGAAAAGAAGTTGGAGATGAAGTAGCCAGTAGAAAACTCCATGTATAATTTAACGTTCCTTATGAATTAATATTAAGTCCATAATTATTTTAACCTAAAGTGGACTTTTTTGCTTGAGAAAGAAAAATTAGGAAGATTATGAAGTTTAAAATCTTATAACTAAAATGATCCACACTAATTTATATCTTTCTGAGCAGCTATTATAAAATCTTAGATCTAAAATTATATTTAACGGGTTATCTGGTCCATTCGTCCAAAGCACATGGTTATTTTTCATTGCCTATCATTAAAACTCATTGTAGTGTTTATATTATATTTTGGTATTTAAACTGTATTTATGTTACTGTGGAGACAAAAGAAAATGGAAGGGTTCAGTGTTCTGATTTTCATTTTGATTTGTTTTGAGTTCTTTTATATCATTCATTTAAATTTTTTCTATAATAAATAACTTCAACTTTTTCAGTGATATGTATGGTCTTAGTTTATAGCTAATAGAGAACATATAATAAGAAAGGTATCATTCTCTCTCATCTTTAATAATAGTACATGACCAATTCTAAGCTACCCTGTGATTCAGCTGTGCTCTTTTGAAATCTTACCAGATGAAACATAATTATTGCTTTTAACTTTTTTTTTTTTTTTTTTTATCATCACCCCGGGACATTTTTCCATTTTTTTGTTCAGATAGAGTGGAAGGGAGAGAGAGGGAAAGAGAGAGAGAGAGAGAAACATCAATGTGAAAGGGAAACATTGAGTGGCTGCCACCTGCACAACCCAACAGGGCCAGGGACAAACTGCAACTGAGGTACGTGCCCTTAGCGGGAACCGAACCCGGGTCTCTCTCGATTGCAGGCCAACGCTCTAACCGCTGAGCCAAACTGGCCAGGGCAGTTACTGCTTTTTAATTAATTGTGTCAAAAGCCGTTGATGCCTGAGATTCACTTCTTTGTGGACAGTTCTGTGAATCTTTTTCATTTGAAGTTTTGAAGGTGAACATTTCAGACAAGTGTGTGTGTCAGTGATAATGGTCTTTGGTTTCTAAAATGGTAAAGCAGGTTGTTCAGTGGGATTTCTTCCTCTACTTGAAGAACACAGATTCTTACCTGTAGGCGGGTGGGGCAAGGATTGATAGAATCTTATGTTTTTTTGGGAAATCATAAATCCATGTAGATGAATGAGACCTTGAAATAGGCTTTATCTTCTTATTGTGAGTCAGCATAAAATTGTTGTAGGGGAATGAAAATCTATTTGAATTTTTTAAATCTTCCAGAGAAAAATCAATAGACTCTTTTTTGAAAATCTGTTTGTGTAAGAAATACATGCCAAAAATTGCAATATTGTCTTATTCATAATGACTTTTGGTAGAAATTGAGCAAAGCTCTGACGTAAGTCAATTCTTTGCCTTCTGTGTTTCAGGTTGAAGCATTTTAGGTTCTATGTACTTTCCTCTGCTCAGTGGTCTTCTTAATGAAAGTTTTTACTGTTTCTCTAAGACTTAGCCTTTGTGGGCTCTTCTGTGCCATTGTTACAACCTTGGATGAGTTTTACGCCCTATAGGGAACTTAGTAGTAAAATAAAGTATTGGAATAATAATCTTATTTCCTGGAGCCTTTAAAATAGGCTTTATTTGTGTAAGATACTTTTGTGGCTTGTTTTATTATGAAGACTACGTACTGTAGATGTTATGTGTGTGCCAGACTTGGGTTCATGTCCCCAGTTTACTGTTATTATTAGTGCAGCTCTGAGTGTGTTGTGCTTTAGTTTCCGCCCTTACAAAATAGGGGGGAAAACAGCTCACTGGGCTATTTAGTTTACATGTAATAAGATTTAGAGATCGACACACTAAGCACTCAGTGCACAGTGGTTTTGTTGTGATAGTGGGCTAGGTGATCTGCAAGGTTATCTCTAACAATACATTTTATATTAAAAATGTTAGATATCATTTATCTTAAAAATTGGTTGTTATAATACAGGCCATATTATATTTGAACTTCTTTCTACCAGTGATGTTATTTACAATTGAGAATTACATATTTAAGTAGGACTTCTATTTTGAATTTTAGTTGTAGTGATGAAAACTGATTTCTAGATAGAGTGGCTTAAAATTAAGGAATTTGTTAACTCAAGTTTTCAACAAAGTCAAACAAACAATACCAGGTCACACAAAGCTCGGACTGGTTTAAGATGATTTTTCTTTGCTGGTTTTTGGATTTCGTAAAGCTGTCTTCGTAGTCTAGAGTCGGGTGGGGAGTGCCCGGCCCGCAGGCCACGAGGCCTGTGTGATGAGTTGCCAGCGCACGCCCCCCGCCCCACCAGCCGAGCCTGACCAGATATGGCAGCTGCTGCTCCAGCTGGTGAGGTGTGTCCTGCGGATGATGTCACACTTACCCAAATGGCCCTCGGCAGAAAAAAGGTTCCCCATCCCTACCAGGAATAACACTTCCTAAAAACAAGAAGTTAGCCGTTACCATGGCACAAAAAAATTAATCAGCAAAGGAGTAAATACTATTGAGCTGAGTTAACTAGCATATGGCATCACATGCAGTATTTTTGATGTGATCTGTTTTTAAATAAGTAAATGAGGCCAATATGTAGTTCTGTTGTGATTTTATCCTGTTGATAATGATTTTCCAGCAGCATGATCACTTTGAGTAATTCTGCCAAGTGATCCCAGCTGCTCGGAGGTTGTGTCATCCCTTGAGGACTGGTCCTGTTTTATATTGGACTGGTTGATCCCGCAGCCAGTGACTTTGCGAGCGTGACTGCACACTGCCTTCCACTGGGCATGTCCTGCCTGCTCACTGCATGGCTGACAGAGTGAGCAGGTGTCGGAGTCCCCTCCAGCAGCATAGCTGCAATCTTGCAGTAACCACATCTTTTGTATTTTGTGTCTAAGAGTGTCTCAGTAAATTACAAACTTCATTTCCCTTTGCTTTGGAAGATCATACGCATTGAATGCAAATGACATATTCTTCTCAAATTTGGCCTACGTCCCTTCTTTTAAAGAATGTATATTATTAAATTCTATGGGTGATACAAAACAGAGTAAGTCTTCCTCATTTTGCGACTTAAAAATTTGCTTTGAAAAAAAATATTTTCTGTCATAATGTATAAATTGGCTTTTGTATGTTAAACAGTTAAAAATTCATGCCCAGCCGGTGTGGCTCAGTGGTAGAGTGTCGACCCATGTACCAAGAGGTCACCAGTTCAATTCCTGGTCAGGGCACATGCATGGGTTGTAGGCCCGATCCCCGGGTGGGGGCGTACAGGAGGCGGCCAATCGATGTTCTCTCTCATCAATGTTTCTCTCGCTCTCCCTCTCCCTTCCTCTCTCTCTAAAATCAATAACGAAATCATGAAGCCCTGGCCCGTATGGCTCAGTGGTTATTAGAGTGTTTGGGCTACACACCAATGGGTCATGGGTTCGATTCCTGGTCAAGGCCAGGGACCTGGGTTTCAGGTTTGATTCCTGCCCTGTTCAGGGTGTGGAGGACGCAACCAGTCCATGTGTGTCTCTCACATCGATATTTCTTTCTCTTCCTCCCTCCCTTCCTTTCACTCTGTCTAAAAATCAGTGGAAAAATATCCTCAGGTGAGGACTAGCAACATAAAAATACTTGAAAAGCGGAGTGCTCATTAGAGACATGGGATGTTCTGTGACACATCTGCTCAGTCGTGTGCACACATGGAGCCTGAGGCCTCACTCTGGGCCAGGC